AAACTGTAGTGGTGCCCACTAGCACGCTAATTGGGGTCGACTACTTTGGAGCTATTCCCATGGGGACGGTGGTAGTACTGTTTGTACATTAGCTGGAGCTTTCTATCTACTCACACTAGCTCCGCTCCTAACGAACTCCACTACAACCCTCTAAAATCCTTAAATGCCCTCTAGAATGCCTATCAGCACATCAGGAGATACGACCAAACCTTGACCTATCACCAGCTTAAGAGCTAGCCTTGTCATCTTCCCTTATCCTCTAGTATGCCCTCTCTCTCTAAACAGATGAGAGGTTGATACCCTCGTAGGGTCCCCTCATGCCTCGAAATCAACTGTCTCCCGAGGCGTGGTATGCATATCGCCAGGAAGGTCCATCTATACACAAAATGACAAGCATTAGAATAATGCCAAAGTAATCGGGCACAAAAGAATTTAAGTGCTGACACTAAGTACACCCTAAGAGGCCTTCGACAATCCTTTTGTTATGAAAGTGGGGTCCTCACCCTCATAATAGAAATACTACTAAAAGATCTTGCTCATTTACCCTTAGAAACCTTATAGCTTTGATACCAACTTTTTCATGACCCAAACCTAGGCCTGTGATTGGCACTAGGATCCACCAACCCTAGTAAGCCTTACATCCACAACATATTAATGTACTAGTCACATCACAAAATATAACTCAAACTCTTCATACATGAAACTAGAATCCTATTTAAGGAATAAAAGAGCAACTAGAGTACAAATGATAACAAAATGGAACATGCCTATACATATATCAAGTCGATAGGAAATCGGCTCTGGCACGAAACTCTAGCTAAAAATTGAACAATTAACCTAATTTGGAAAGATAATAAAGTATGAGTTGCTAAACTTAGTGAGTACAGATGATACATATTCTAGCTATGCTGGGATATGCATTGCAACATATACCAAAACATACATATTCATACATAGTAAACATTACAAGTACATCAAACATATATGTAGAAGTATCATCATATACAATTATTATATCCCATGGCAAAATATATCATGTCCAAGGCACCATAGCCTCACACTAAACTCAGGCATTCACCATTGGACACTATGGATTACCGTCCTTTAGTTGAACCCTTAATGTCCTAATCTCATCACGACATGCGCATCATGTCCAAGGCACCATAGCCTGATACTGGACTTAGGGCACTTGCCACTAGAAGCTACGAATCACTGTCCTCTAGTGCAAGCCCCTGACGTTCCCATCTTGTCACATGATACAACTCCCCACATATTTAAAAAAAAAAGCATTTTGCATATACACATACAGTTCATATATCAACATATCAATGGTAAAACAAGTAATATCAAATGCTCATTCACATTTCAAAATACATCAATACACATTTCAAAACTTTCATGTATAATCAAAAATACTGTATGCATTAAAGCCAATATCTATGTCATAAATCATAGTTAAAAAACACATCTATAGAAAGGATATCATCACTCACAAAGCAAGGCCGAATTAGAAACCCAAGTCACCTGACATGACACAATGGTCACCTTGTGGCTCTACTAGTGTACCTACAACCACAATGGTATACAATCAAAACAACAACCCAAACCGACACAAGAAAGGACTTAGTCACCTAAAATCAGGGTCTAAACCACACTAGCATCCTTATATGCATCCCAAGGTTCATTTCCCATCACTCAAAACCCATACGACTCAAGAATACACAACCATTTCCCTTTAAAACCCTTAAATCATGCTAAACTAGTCTCCAAAACCCTTGAACTAGCTTGAACTAGCGTTAAACTCCCCTAAATGGCTTGAACCGACCATGAACACCTCATAATTAAACTAAACCAGCCTTAAATATCCCGAACTGGACTGAATCGGCCTCAAATACCCAAGAGCTAAACTAAACCGACCTTAAAACCCTTAAACGAAGCCAAAACATGCCATTTGCACACAAAACTAGCTTAAACAAGATTGAATCAACCAGTTTTTTGATAAACCAAGCCCCTCAATAATGTGAACTGGTCTTACCTTCTCTAAAGCGATCCAAGTTTCCACTAAATTGGCTTCTGAACTGTTTATGTCCTTAATCGGTAACTCTAGATACCTTATCCCAGTCTTGGTTATTCTTTTCTAGTTTCATTCTATTCTGCCCCTAGGATAGCATATCCCAGAATCAATCTGTTGAGTTGACTTGCTGAGTCAACTCATTAATTCTGGCCATTGGGCCGAGTCAACTCACCAAGTTGACTTGTCCAAAACTCGACCCAACACACTCACCTTAGGTTGGCCTAACAACCATGGCCCAAACCCATTGGCTTAGCCCAACCCGCTGGGCCCAAGCCCAAGTCACCAACCAAACCAAGGCCCAACCCAACCCAGCCCGTTGAGTCAACTCGATGAGCCAAGTCAACTCAACTAGGTCAACTCAACACAGACCCAAATACCATCTGGGTACATCTTCCTCACTTGGAAACTTGACCCCTAACCCGTTTTTTGCAACAAAACCCAAAACATAAAACCCATAAATTTTTAGCTTTATTGAACTTACCTTGATCAAAATCAAGACCAAGGGTTGTAGAACTAGATTAGGCAAACTAAGCTATGGACATTAATTAGAATAGAATCGATCAAACCACTTGAAAAATGCAAAAATCCAAATCTAGCTGTGCACAGACTAGTCGGCCAAACTAGAGCAAATCTTTCTCAATTTTTCACTCCAAACTTGAAATTGGTTGAGGAAAAACACTTAGTGGCCAAAGTTGCATGCCAAAACCAAATTTCATGTCAAAAATCTGCTACCATCATCACAGTATGGGTATCCCACTGTTTGGTGCACTATTAGACCAAACCTGTAGGATTTGCTCTCAATCCAGTCCCTTAACTTTGATTTCTTTTAATTTTATCCCTTTGCATTTCAGATTCAGTCTCTGCCTCTTTTATTTCCTTCAAATTGACCCCTGACACTTTCAACTTAACTCCAAATTTCCTGATTTCTCAAATCAACCCCTCAGTCTCATAATTTCTACAATTTCACCCTCCCAGAATTATGATTTAACCCTATCTTCTTTTACTTTGAGCAATTAAGTCCCTAAACTTAATTAAAAACCAAAACTCAATTTTTTTATTTTTATTTATTTATTTATTTATTTATTTATTTTTTATAAATTGGGTTGCTACGTTTCTCCTTACTTTCACAGGTAATCAAACATGGACTTATATGAGAATGTTTAACTTCAGATTTTTACAAAAACTCATTCTATTTTTACTAAAAGGCATTTCTTATCAGAAATTTCATAATATTTGCCCTTGTAATTCAGCAACTCTCTCCCCTTTTAAGAAGCGGGGGACTAGCTAGTTTATTCTTATCACAGGGGCAGCCCTCCATCTTGACTTGCCCATGTCTAAAAGTTGCCTTTTCTTTATTTGCAGACTATGAACCTACCATAAGACTGACTCTATCTCAAATTCACTATCTCTATTTGGGTGGATAGCCTTTTCTAGTCACTTTTATGACTCAACATTTTCTCTCCACGTTGGAAGAAAGGTGTCAAAAGTCCATCCACTTTTACCTGATTCATCCACGAACCACACCCACTTTACTAGTGATGGTACGGTTCTGATCTCATTTATGACAATTATTTTCTTCTCTCTCACGAGGAATTGCCCATTTTAACTTGCTAGGCCTCACAATTTTTTCCCCTAAAAATATTTTGCTAGATTTATTTTAATCTAAATTTATTTGATAATTGTGGATTTATATTAATCTCTCTCTCACACACATACATATTCATCAAGTAATCAATTTAAAGGACAAAATTGGCTTTATTGGATAAAATAATCTAATAATCAGTAAGAGTGTGATATTATCCTAAACTACAAATTTGAGAGAACTCTAAACTTTTCCTTATAAATTATATATACAGGACATATCTCATTTTACATGTGTGTCAGTATTGCATTCAAATCACACATTTGACCCTTAAGAGAGGAGAATATTAGTTTTATTATTCAAGTGTTTCCTCATTATACTTGTTCTCCTAAGTGTGCCATTATGGATTCAAATTTTTAATAAGTATATTTCTCTATTTACGTGTTACAGAGTTTTAAATTCTATTATAATTGATCTAATTTAATTTCTACAAAAATTTATCTCCAAAGTGAGGCCTAAAGTGTGCAGTTTTCTATCTTGAAACTACTTCCACCTATGCATTCAACTTCAGAATTTTTATAGACTCTTCTGTTAAAATTTTTATTCAAAACATGGGCGTCCGTTGATTGTGCTTTTAATTTGTTTAAAAGAAAAATATAGGTTGAATTTGAATTGGTAAAACCGGTGCAATCTGTAATGGGGTCATGTTCAATTTCAGTAGATTTATTTTATGGTGCAACGTGTGCCTTAAAAGTGGACACTTTGATGGTGGATCCAAATTGCAAAATCTAGCTTAGATGCCCTCTCCCATTCTGCATTCTAACTCTATCGATACAAGGTTAGAAGTATATGGCGTATGTTTCACCCGTCATTTAACCAGAGAGGAAAAGACTAGTCTTTTAGAGTCAGTAGAAAACACGAAGATGGAAGTAATGGATGGAATAAATGGTGCCGTTACAAATGGTGCGTTTCCGGTCAAGTCGTACATGTGATTTAGGTGCTGTAGTGGCTAAGTTAACTGGGGTTTTTCTCAATGCTTTTGGAGGAGAGCTTTTACTTTATAATTTAATAAGTTGGTTTCTAAATATGTGTCGGCTTTGTTTTGATGAATGATGAGTTTCCTGAATAATTAATTCCTTTTTGTTTGTGGATCCCAAATTTTCAGTTTCTGAAATTCTGAATCGATGCACACTGAAACTGTTATGTTGCTGCTAATGGATTTTACAATCAATTCCTTGAAGATTTCATTCACCAGTTAAGAGAAACACGTTAAAATATCCAGGGAATTATATCAACTTAACTCAAAACAATGTCAAGTGCATACAAATCCATATTAGCTAAGCGCTAAAAGAAACTCACCCGCACATTTATTGACACACATACAACTAAGCTGCTTATTTCCCGGATAGAATAGTCTGGGCAGGTCACGCCGATGCCGGTGCCGGTGCCAGTGCTGGGTCTGGCGTCGGTGCGGTGCCGGTGCAGGTGGTGAGGGTGGCGGGGGCGGGGGCGGGGGCGGGGGCGGGGACGGGGCCGGGCCGGTGGCGGCTTGGCAAGAACAGAGGGGAAATCGAGGAGCAAAACCTTGTCAATTACAGCTGAAAAGGTAGCCGAAAATTCTACATGTTTGGGATGCGTTTGGAAAACAGTGAACTCTTCCTTGCTTTTGAATGTCATCATGAAGGCGTGGGTGAACCCTTGTCGCATCATTTCCTTGCTTTCAATGTCCTCTCCCCTATTACAGATATGGATAATCAGAAACATCACCAAGTATATGATTTTTGAATTCTAAACAACCAAAAAATCCTTAGATTACCACTCAAAAGACTGGACAACATCGATCTCGGAGACCAGCTTCTCCATCCCTTGGAGCAGTTCTTCCACAACCACACCTTCCTTGAACTTGGCAATCACCAGGTGCTTGAACTCAGCCATGGCACCAGAATGGCTATGTAACATTTTCAAAACCCAACAAATAGCAGACTTACATATAGACCTCCACTTGAACAGTGAAAATAGTTGCTGTGCGCAAGTTTTCAGGATCATAAAACTTGTTTAGGAGTAGGGTTCCTTTTAATCTATCTCTCCTTTTATCTTTTAGATTAACAAGTAATATAAAAATAATCAAAATATTTCATATAAAATACTAAAACATTTGATGATTTTATAATATATATTATGATTAAGTAGAAAGAGGATGAGATACATTAGCGTGGCTAACATGAAGAGAGTAGATTTCTTTGATATTATCCTTGAGTAAACCACCTTCATATTTCATAATAAAGTAAGCTCTCCTTGTACGAAATAAGATTACTTATACGAAAGTGTGTCGGCCACTATCATGGAAGAGACAAACGCAACACTTGAGTAATAAAAGTCGAAATAAGTCAGGTCAAAATTTAAAAATATAAAATTATTATAAAAATTACTAGTAGAGTTTGATTTATAACCTCCAAATAAGTTAAAACTTATTTTTTAATTAATTTATTAGTAAAATTGATAAAGTCTAACTTAGCCTATTCACCTATTGGATAAACTTATTTAAAATATAAAATATATATTTTATTTTTTATTTTTTATTTTATTGTATAAATATATAATTTATAAAATATAAATTATACTTAAAATATATATTTTATATATAATTAATTACATAAGTGATTCTGCCAAACTTGTGACTTATTATACTTGAAATATATATTTTATATATAATTAGTTACATAAGTGATTCCATCACACTCATCACTTAAACTAAATATAATCGGATTAAGTCTTTTTTTTAAATTTTTATTATAACTATTTTCAATTCTGTTCAATTTTAAAGATTAATTTTGTAATTTTGGTATTATTTAATTAAATAAATAAACTAAATTAAATTAAATCAAAACAGACGATGGTTCCGGCAACTCCTAAACGAGCTGACCTATTTCTATCCCTATCGATTAGCATGAAATAAACCACAAGAAAGTCTGACAACGGCAGCGCCAAATAAACAGAAGAGTGTGTGCTGACAGAGTCCCAGAGCAGGAGCGTGCTTCACCCATCAACCGTCTCAATCATGAACATAACTTGTACAAATAATTTATCAGTTCTCTGCCACCGTAACAATCCGTAAATGTCACCTTTGCCCTTTGCTCCACACAAATTATCTTTGTTTTTCTTATTTTATTTTATCAATAAAATAATTCAGAGAAATAGCATTTGTCCTCTAGACTCAATAGAATTTGGGTGTAAACTTCTTCCGTAAATTTAAATAAACTTAATATAAACGATTTTTATTTTATAAAATTAACTGTTGAACCCATTGTACTTTAATTTGTATAAAAAATGTTGTTAAAAAAAAGTTCACATTCTTACTCATCAGTTTGCCAACATACAATATATTACATTGTATAATAGATTTGCCAAATTTATTCCATGTTATAAAATGAATATTTTGGTCTAAAATAAATTAAATAAATAGAGAATACAACTCAGATTTTAACAACAATTTTCTTTTCTTAAAAATTTTTTGGGACTCGGATGGATTTGAAAATCTTCAATTATTGGTGAAATAAAAAGAATTTAAGCATTCCATCGTAATAAGAAAGAGTATAATTTTTTTAATCTAAATTAAATGTTTAAACAATTGAAATGAAATAAAAAAATTAAAAATAATTTAAATAAAAAAAAGTGAATCTGAACAGTGGGTACAATCATTTTCGCTAGTACTATCATTGCTTCACTGACCATGTTTACGTGCGTCAGTGTTGAAAAGGATGGAGCCTTCCCTTCCATCTATGGTTTCTTGGCCCTTTTTTAACAAGAAAACAAAAATAAATTAAAGTGTTACATTTACGTGAGTCTTTGAGAATACTTATATACGTGGAATAAAATTTAGTTTAATTTAATTTAAAAATTATATAAATATTAATATTTTATGTCTAAAATAAGATGTTATTACAGTAATAAATACAGACAAACAAAATGATTATATATAAATTTATAAACTAAGCTTATGACTACTCTTTACCATGAATGTGAGTTTTACCGCTCTCGAGCCTTATCTTTCATGTGTCTTTAAATTTGTTAATACCATCTTCTATTTTATTATTTATAGCATTTTAAGGTTTAGAACTTATTTAAAATTAAATTTAGATTAAAAATAATTTTGTATTTAAAAAATTATTAAATTAAAAGTGATTTTAGAGAAGAAGAATATTAAAATGGGTTTATGAATAGAGTTTAAAAACCCAACCCACCTCATGAAGTTAATTTCAAAAAGCTCATTAGATTTTAAGTTTAAGAAATTCAAAATAAGGGTAATAGTCCCAACTTAAAGAAAATCAAATACAAGACTCAAAAAATAAACTGTGCGAAACCCGATTTCTCAAATTCACATTTAATCTTGAGTTTAGAAGAACTTGATTGTTTCAAATTTCAAATTGTATATAATTCTTTAAAATTATTTTTTCAAACCCAATATAAAGCAAGGCCTTCCAGATAACAATAATAGGCAAATTTATATTAATAATAATTTTTTTATTTATTAAATAGGTTTCTAAAAATTATTTACGAAATAGGTTAATTTTGTTTTAGTTGAGAAATTAGTCTTTGGAGAACTAATTTTTTTCTAAAAAATTAGTTTTAAGAGAACTGATTTTAATTAGAAAGTCTGGAAGGATCTTCCACCTTCGGCCATAAAGTTTTACAATAGAGAAAGGAAAAGAAAGAAGGAGAGAAGGAAGAAAGGAAGAGAAAAAAAAAATTAGGAGCTTCCATGGAGGTATGTAACAAACGGAGGGAGAGAAGGAAAAAAGAAAAAGAGGAAGAGCTCCTTCCTAGACAGGAGCTCAGTAGAGGGAGAAGAAAGGAAGAGGAAGGGAGAGAGCTCCCTGCCAGGACTAATGCTCTACAGTGGAGTTCCCACCTTGAGGGAGAGGAGCTCTCGTCCTGATAGGTGCTCTCCCCAACCCTCTCTCTTCTTCCATTCCCCCCTCCCTCCTCCTTCCTTCCCTCCCTTTGTTCTTCCACTCCTATTGCAAACTTTCATGAAAGATCCTAATGTTTTTCCTCCATCTTCTTTCCCCTTACTTCCTTCTGCCCATTCCTTTTTCCGTCTCTATATTGTAGAGCTCCATTAACAGTACTTTGCAGGTGGATTACCAAGTTGCTGTCACAGAGCTCCGCAAGCGAATTTCTTAGTTGTGAAATCAGCAGTCGATTTTCACATACCGATTTCTTAAGAAATTAGTCTGCCCTTTTGCTAAAATCAATAACCCAAGAACCTATTTTTCGACTAAAAAAAACTAACCGCTTTTTGTAAATAATTTTTGTAACTTATTTTTATAAATAAAAAATTAATACTCATATAAATTTGCTTGGGATAATGCATCAAATATCAGTTTCAACTCAGGATGAGCAATCAATGCTCTTTTTGATTTATGTTTCAAAATTTCACCTTTTTTTTTTGGATTTTCTTAAACTTTCTATTTTGTTTTTTCTGATAAGAATCAAAAAGTTAAAAAGTTGGTAAAATATTAATTGTAATCCACCGTCGGCAACTTGAAACAAGGATTGCTGCCGCAAAATACGTTATCCCCTGACAACTGGTGACTGATGCGACAAGAAAGGATGAGTCACACACGTTAATAGTAAACAACGGAAAGCCATCCTTGTAGGAAAGGGACACGTACAGTTAATAATGCTTCGTCATGGTTTTCAGTTGAACAGTATTATAAATGGTTTGGTGACCCATTAAAATATTCAAATTTTAAAATTAATTTTTTAATAATTAAATTAGGATCTGTTCCACGAAATTTTAAAAGTAAATATTTAGTTTTTTTACTAAAAGAATTAAGAGACAGTTCTTTTCTAATTTAAAAAATATAGCGGTGCTTTTTTTTATTTTAAAAATAAAAATTTTTATTTTTTAAATAATATTTTTAAAATTTATTTCTTTACTTATATTTTAAAAAATACTTTAAAAGGAAAATATGAGCATTTGTTCCAAAAATTGAGCATGGCTTTTTGGCTATGCTCAATCTCAAAAAAAATGTTTTAAAAATAATTTGTAAAACAAAATTTCAGATAAATAGCTATACGTTTAGAAATAAATCTAATATATCTTAAAAACACACTTATAAAAGAATATAATCTCATAATTTTTTCTTTTAAAATATCACTTTTAAACATTCTTAAATAACAATATTTTATTTTATAAAATTATTTTTAAAATATTATATTTTAAAAACATGCTTTAATTTTAAAAATATCTAGATTTGAGATTGAAAAAGAATGTATTTTTAAAATTGATACATGCCTTTAGGGTATAGTGCTTTAGAAAAAACGAGATACCTTTTTTATTATGTATTTTTGATATATATTTTTGAATTTGTGTTTTTTTATATTATTTTTGAGACAAATATTTATGAAAAAAATAGAACATTAGAGGTTTAAATGAAGAAAAAAATAAATTAAGGAAATTATATAGGATTAAATTGATAATATTTAAATATAAAAAATTAAAGTGAAAAATAGTTAAAATATCAAGGATGATATATATATATATATATAATACATACACATTATATGTGTAGGTGTACATTACGTATGTATGTTAAACATATAAAATAGTATGCTAAATAAAATTGCATATTACATGCATAAATATATAATACATATTATATTTACATATATATACATATATAAATGTTATATTTGTTAATCTAATAAAATATAATATATTTTATATATTATGTTCTATATTTTAATATATAAAAATTGTATATTATATATATGATATTGTATATAATAAATTTTTTTAAAAATATAAATAAAACAACTTACTTTAAAAATTGAGCGTAATCTAGAGATTGTGTTCAGTTTCAGAAGTAAAATATTTCAATTTTTGGAACTTGTACTTAAGAAATATTATTTAAAAGAATAATATTTTTATAATTTTGATATTAGAAATAGAG